AAACATGGGAATTCAGTGACGAATTCGATATCGTCTTTTTAAATAATTCTTTGATTTAGTATAGTGATACCTACTGAGAAAGATGTAATCTGTAAGAGTTTCGTCTGCTATGTTCACATTTGGTTTGTTTATGTTTTGACTGCATACGGTTGTTGATCTTGCGGAGATATTATTGACAAATCTTTACAGTCTTTTAAACTCTAGCTGCAGACATAATAATATTATGGGTATTAGGTATTACAATGCTAATTCATAACAAAGACGGTATCCAAGTCGTCACTGAATTCCTATTATTTTTGGGACACCCTGTACCAGGCAAAGACAGGACACCAAATGAACCAGCACTTTTTTACAGAAATTCTGGTGTCCTGTGACCTTCATTTTTCAAAAATAGAAATTACGGAAAGATAGATTCCGAAAATTTCATAGCTTGACTAATACAACCAGTCATTATCCGTTGCGCTTGCAAGTTGCACCCCTATAGTCACCATATATTCTATGCATTTGAAGCATACAAATATCACGCATCTCTGCCCCTTTAGTAAAAGTAAATTCAGCCTATATTAAGCATAAAGTCTGACCGCGTCAACCTTGTTGCATCGGTTAGTCCTGTCCATAGAACTAGGTACAGTACAAACTAGAACCAGAAAGGTTGACCCGGCTCGGAAATTCAAATGTACTACAGCTGTCCGTGATATGTGCCTCAAATATTGCATAATATAAAAATTTGAATATTCTCAAAGTTTGACTTGCTCAGAATAAATAAGCTTTATTAATGTAACAAATTATTGAAAGGTATAAACTATTCGAAGAAAGGTATAAACTATTCGAAGAAAGGTATAAACTATTCGAAGAAAGGTATAAACTATTCGAAGAAAGGTATAAACTATTTGTCAAAAATGAAAACTATATTTTTTTTCTTGATATATTTTTGAAGCATCCAGTAAACCAGAGTTGTAAAATTGTTCTGGCCTTAAAAAAAAATTATTTATTAATTTATGATTAAGCTCTAACCTCTCACCTCTAAAAATTGATGCATACTAAAAAAACCTTTTTTTGAAGAATTTTTTTTGATTTGATAGATTTGGTGTAAAACCTACGTTGGTTCTCATAGACTGCAGTGAAATGGAACTTGGACGAAACCTTGGCCGACGCAAGGGTGGAGGTGGAGATAGTCTTGAAGCATCCAGGTGGTTTAAGTGAAGAATTGATTTTGAAAACAACAAACTCAAATTTATTAATCCCTTTGCAACCCGAGGTCGAATTTAAAGAATTTTATCCCCGGCTTAAATTTAAGCCGCGGCTCAAATATAGTTGGATCCACTTAAAATTGTATTCAATGTTTCAAGATTTAAGCCGGTGCTTAGTTGAAACCGGTTTTTGGTAGATTAAAGCCGCGGCACAAATTCATTAAATTCGGACACTGATGTCGTAGACGATATTTCAAACTATGAATTGGATCAAATAGTCTAAGTTTTAAATATAAAAGATGTTCACCATCAGGTCAACCACCGTTGAAAAGATAGGAGTGGACAAATTTGAGTTTGTGGCAAATACTCAGTTTCTTAATAATCAAAATCTATAATTTATTCAAATTCAATTTTAACAAACGAATAATGAGACTTCAAAGACGACTTTTACGGATTTAAGGAGTCTCTCTTGCTACATTCATGGTTCATGGTTTTTCAAATATTCAAATATTGAAAGTCTATATGTGTAACTGCCCAAATTCAACCCTCATAGCACTGTGATTTTAAGCTCTCAAGCTCTCAAGCAAAAATGAGAATTTTGCCAATTACTTCTTAAAAACCAAAGCTAACAACCAGTGTTTTAAATGTACATGTAAAGGGCTACAGAAAACCATTTATAAGTTAGAGCGTTAAGATTAAAGCCCAAGGCGTTTACAGTGAGCATTGAACAATTATTTACCGTTTTCAACATTTTACGATTTTTACCGTCCATAACCTTTCCTGAATCCTGGGGTAATGTGAGTTGCCGAAAAAAAATTTAGGCCAGATCGGTGCACCCGTTTTGATATATAATTGTTGAAAACAAACAGATAGACAGTCAAGTAATATATGTACATATAACATATGATACATGTATCAATGCTCTTAACTTTTTTTTCGGCGCGGGGGGAGTCAACGCTGAAAAATATTTGTCTTTTGAGCATAGATATATAAATATATATAGATATATAAATATGATTGATTTTCAATATATTTTGATTGTATATTTACGGGATAAAGTTTCAATGCAATATTATATTACGACGATATGAAAAAAATTACTTATGTTAAAACGTCATATTTTCAATTGGAAACAAATCCATTTTTCTAGAAACAAAAATATAAAACAGTGTTAAAAAACATTGATCTATCGAAATAACAAACATTCTATTCGACATTATGGACAGAATGTTTAAATTTCTAACAATATTTTTGTAATTTTTATCAAACTGTTTGCAATTCCGAAAAGTTTTTATGATTAGATAATAAGAACAAAACTTTAGGGTCATGCACCCCTGACCCTTTAATAAAGTAAATTCAACCTAAAGTCTGGCCGCGTCAACCTTTTAAAACCGGCTAGTCCTATCAAGTGTCTGCTTTATTTACCCAATGTCCGGGCGATACAGTACAAACTAGGACCGGAGAGGTTTACCTGGCTCGGCTGCCCGTAGGGTTTCTCTAACATTGTGTTTGTTTCAGAAGACGGCTCGAGATCTATAGAGAATTAACTTTACCTTTACTAAAGGTACATTATTAAAGGATTTATTATTATTTTTTTTATGAATTTCGCTTTTTAAAATTCTTTAAAGATTGTTTAATTATTCCCATGTTTGTATCTAACTCATTTTACTGAATTTACATTGGGTTGAATGATACTAAATGGAAATGGTAATTTCATTTTCATGGTGTTGGAACAGTTCATAGAAAGAAATCTTTCTATCTATGAGATGTCCCATCTATAAAATGTCAGATTTATGAAATGTCCCATCTATAGAATGTCTGATTTATGAAATGTCCCATCTATAAAATGTCTGATTTATGAAATGTCCCATCTATAAAATGTCTGATTTATGAAATGTCCCATCTATAAAATGTCTGATTTATGAAATGTCCCATCTATAAAATGTCTTATTTATGAAATGTCCCATCTATAAAATGTTCGATTTATAAAATGGTCCATCTATTATATGAATCTATTTTTATGAAATGTCCCAACAGTGCCAACACCATTTTAATCTCTAATCGACGTTTTTTGCAAAGAGAATTTAATATCAACCATTCTACAAATAGAGCTGTTCTTCAAATGGAGCTGTTCTTCAAATGGAGCTATTCTTCAAATGGAGCTGTTTTTCAATTGGAGCTTTTCTTCAAAAGCAGCTGTTTTTCAAATGGAGCTGTTCTTTAAATGGAGCTGTTCTTCTAATGGAGCTTTTCTTCAAATGGAGCTGTTTTTTAATTGAAGCTGTTCTTCAAAAGGAGCTGTTTTTAAAATGGAGCTGTTCTTCAAATGAAGCTGTTCTTCAAATGATTCTGTTCTTCTAATGGCGCTGTTCTTCAAATGAAGCTGTTCTTCTAATGGAGCTGTTCTTCAAATGGATATGTTCTTCTAATGGAGCTGTTCTTCAAATGTAGCTGTTCTTCAAATGGAGCTGTTCTTCAAATGGAGCTGTTCTTCAAATGGAGCTATTCTTCAAATGGAGCTGTATTTCAATTGGAGCTGTTCTTCAAAAGGAGCTGTTCTTCAAATGGAGCTGTTCTTCAAGTAGAGCTGTTCTTCAAATGGAACTGTTCTTCAAATGGAGCTGTTCTTCTAATGGAGCTGTTCTTCAAGTGGAGCTGATCTTCAAATGGAGCTGTTCTTCAAGTGGAGCTGTTCTTCAAATGGAGCTGTTCTTCAAATGGAGCTGTTCTTCAAATGGAGCTGTTCTTCAAGTGGAGCTGTTCTTCAAATGGAGCTGTTCTTCAAATGGAGCTCTTCTTTAAATTAAAGAAATAAAAAAAATACTGTTGGGCTTCTGCATGATCAGAAAACGTTCAGCGTTATATTTAAAAAAAATATCAATTTGATAAAGTTGTTAAATTTTTTTTGTAATTTTAGACTTTTGACGAGGAAGGAAGACTGAGAGTTGTCGATGGGGATTCAGATTCAAATCAGGTAAACATATCAAAGGATTCAGATTCAAATCAGACATGTCAAAGGATTCAGATTCAAATTAGGTAAACATGTCAAAGGATTCATATTCAAGCCAGGTAAACATGTCAAAGGATTCAGATTCAAATCAGGTAAACATGTCAAAGGATTCAGATTCAAATCAAGATCAAATCAAATCAAGAATCTATAAATAAAGGTAAAAAGTAACTTTTAAGAGAATTTGAGGTCCAACATATTTCTCAACGCAAAACAAAAAAGTAAAAGATAAAAATCTTAACAAATTTTCTTGCAGGTGCTGAGTGATTTAAACCGTGTACTCAGTACAGAGATGTCCAGTCTACTTCTGGAAAGTGTACTCAAACAGGATACAGGTATAGTACACTGTACTCAAACAGGATACAGGTATAGTACATTGTACGTAAAAAGGATACGGACATAGTACTTTGTACTTAAACAGTATACAGGTATAGTACATAGTACTTAAACAGGATCCAAATACAGTACACTGTATTTAAACAGAATACAGGTATAGTACACTGTACTTAAACAGTATAAAGGTATAGTATACTGTACTTTAACAGGATACAGGTACAGTACACTGTTATTAAACATGATCTATATATAGTATACTGTACTTGAACAGGATACAGGTATAGTACACTGTACTTAAACAGAATACAGGTATAATACATTGTACTTAAACAGGATCCAAATATAGTACACTGTACTTAAACAGAATACAGGTATAGTACACTGTACTTAAACAGTATAAAGGTATAGTATACTGTACTTAAACAGTATACAGGTACAGTACATTGTACTTGAACAGGATCCAGGTATAGCACATCGTACTTAAACAGGATATAGGTATAGTACACTGCACTTAAATAGGATAAAGGTATAGTACAGCCACTGTACTTAAAAAAGCAGGTATAGTTTATTTTACTAATTGCAGTCTTAGCCATTTCTCACAGATTGGTATACAAATAGTCAAGTGTGATTAGTGTATTCGATATTTTGAAAACTGTATAACGTCAATAGGTCGTACATAAAGTTAGAAGTTTTTCTAACAGTGTATTTAATACATGTATTTTAAACAGTGTACAGTCATACTAATATTAATAATTGCAAACTTTGAATTTCTTTATTTGAAAAATTGCTCTTTTTAAAAAATGGTTCCAGGTTGTCATAAGCATCACAATTTGTCAAAAACTGCATTCAGCTGAAAAATAAAATATTGTTATCACTTGAACACTATTTCATAGGTTAAAGAAGTTTAACATTTTCACACTTAAAATGAAAGGGTTCAAAACAATGTTATCTTCAACCACTGCAAATTAAGTCTATTTTTATTTGTTCCGAGAAACGTAATTGTGTTCTTACTTTGGAAAAGGTTTCTTACAATGCGTATCAAAATGACAGACAATTCTTCGTCAAAAAAGTAATTTTTTCTCTTCGAGAAACCCTGGTCCTCATAAATATTCCTACGAATATATTAAACTAGAAGGAGATTGTACATTTGGCGTACCGTCCTGCTTTTGTTTTATATTGTCTGTATGTGTACTGTACAGTTTTCTCTAGCAGGTAAAAAGTCGGTCCGGTATTTAAAATGAACAGGAGTTTTCAGTGCCTAAAAGTATTATAATGCCGATGCTCAATTTTGAAGTTTTACTTCTTTTGACCATGCTAATTACATAAGTCAAAATATCTCAGATTGTTCAAAAGATCGATTTGAACAAGGTTATAATGCAAGGAAAGTTATTTTCAGTTGCGTATACTCTGCGTACAAATTGAAACCAGTTCTCTCTGGGCGGAATTTGTAAACAAGAATAGATGCATCAGTGTTCGTTTAGTATCCGAGTAGGTTAAAAGCATTAAGTTTTGATAATTTTGATAATTCACATAATAGTTTCCTATGACTAGAATATTTCATTCATTTTTTATGTGAAAGATGGATCCCATGTCAGGCTTCGACATCCTTCTTGTGTTTACATTACCGCCCAGAGACAGTACACTGCAGTACAAAAGATGCGTACACCTCGGAAATAACTTTCCTTGCATTATAACCTTGAATTTAAATTTGAACTTCATTTATTAAAATGCTCATACTTTGTGGGTAACCATATTAATAATGCAGTTTTATATAAAAAGATATGACTAATTTTTTTTTGTTTTTCAGTGGTAATTATTTAGGCCAAAAAAATCCAAAATTTAAAACAAAAAATTATTTATTTTATTTTAGGTAAATATCAAATATTAGCGAAAGGGCAGAAAATTCAAAAGAAGGAAAACAAAGGTAGCAACTGCCCACCACCCAGCCAGATATTTTTTAATTTTAATTTTTTATTATTCATGTTCTTAATGTGTGCGTCCACATGCTGCACAAGGAATGAGGAAGGACGCACATACAAAAGTAAGAGAGAAATGTTCTCAGTTAAAATAGAGAAAAGAATGGATATGAATTTGTGTAAGATATAACTCTGTGAGTTTTCAATCTAGAAATAACAATTAATTTTAAATGAAAATTGTTTAGCAGATTAAATTGCCCATCTTTCACTTAAATTTTAAGTTCTGGCACTATCTTCTCTTTGCCGAATACAGCAAAAACAAACAAATCGCGAATTTAGATTTATTTTTCGCGCATTTTAAATTTGTTGTAGTTGTGAGCTTCCATATCCTTCCCTGGGGTCATATGAGGTCTATGGGTACCACACAAAATTTGGGCCCGATCGGTTCGGCCGTTTTGACGTTTATTGGATGCAAACGGACAGACGAACTGACAAAGTATATATAAAGATGGTAACGTTTATAGTACTATCGATATGAAAGCTTGATCAGTAGGCTGAAAAGTGGATGGGCACGGTAGGCGTCACTTTTCTGTAAAAATATAAAATTTATCTAGGACAGACCCAATATATTTTGATGTCATAAGCATCTGTCATTATATTTTGATGTTTTGTTTGTTTCAAATTCACCCGGACAGGCCAATCAATGAGAAAAAAAGGATACAACAAAAGAAATTTTAAATTTCAGATCTTGGTAAAACTGAGGATCTTATTGATGAGCTTGAACGTGAGATTGATCAGGAGAATGAAGCACTGGAGAAAGAGATTGCGGAAACATATGAAGAGGTGACACAGTTTGACCAATAAAACTATGAAAAAGGAAGACGACATTTAAGCAAGGTTATGTAAAGAAATTGATTTTTTGTCGCAAATTCAAGCGTTCTAATCCTTTTATCTTTGCGACCTAGTAGTGTAAATCTTCAATATTTCAAACTTAGGTTAATTGATTAACAGAACTCATAGTTTGAAATATAAAGATTTGAAAATCAGAGTTTGTGGCCAAAACTCAATTCTTATGATGTTGTTTTAAAGCTATCTACTAGATTGCTTGTAATCCAAATGTTGAAGTGGGTTTGCATGATTGCTGCATTTCATGTTCATTAAACATTTAATATCAAAACTTGAGTCAAACAGTCGTCTTCCTTTTCCACTGAGGATTTTTGGGTCTTACTGTATGTATCACGAGCTTAAAGGAAGTGTTAACCTGCAGAAAAAAAACAGAAATCATTTTTGTGAAATTATTATTACCAGACTTTTGGGGCGCTTCGCGCCATCTTCTATTTCAATTATGAACATTTTCTCTTTGTATACATTGTAAAACAAAAACAAAAAATTTCGCGGATTTATAAAAATTTTCGTGGATTTTCAAAATTTTGTTAGAGGCAAATTTTTTGAAAATTCGATCATCCATAAACCTTCCCTGGGGTCACGTGACTTCCCACAATAAATTTGGGCCCAATCGGTTCAGCCGTTTTGACGTTAAACAGACAAGCAAAGCATAAAAGAGATAAATGACTAATTAATCATTAAACCCCGGTTGTCTATTAAATTAACCATTTCTTGTCACAAACTCTAATTTTTAAATCTCTTTAAGTTTGCAACCCGAAGTCGCAGACCATCTATATTTCAAACTCTTAGATTCTCTGAGATCCGTGAGTCTAAGTTTGATAAATCAAAATAAAGAGAGATCGTAGAAAGCATGATTTATAAGATTACTTGGAAGAAGAAAATATTTATCTCATTTATAAAAATGTTCTCTGTCTATTAAATGTCAATCTATGAAATGACGTGTGTCTATAAAATGTCCTGTCTATAAAATGTCCTGTCTATAAAATGTCCTGCCTATAAAATGTCCTGCCTATGAAATGTACTGTCTATAAAATGTCCGTCTATGAAATGTCCTGCCTTTAAAATGTCCTGCCTATAAAATGACCTGCCTATGCAATGTCCTGTCCATTAAATGTCCATCTATGAAATGTCCTGTCTATAAAATGTCCATCTATGAAATGTCCTGTCTATAAAATGTCCTGACTGTGAAATGTTCTGTCTTTGAAATGCTTTCTATGAAATGTCCTGTCAATGAAATGTCCTGTCAATGAAATGTCCTGCCTATGAAATGTCCTGTCTATCCTGCCTATGAAATGTCCTGTCTATGAAATGTCCTGTCTTTGAAATGCTTTCTATGAAATGTCCTGTCAATGAAATGTCCTGTCAATGAAATGTCCTGCCTATGAAATGTCCTGTCTATCCTGCCTATGAAATGTCCTGTCTATGAAATGTCCTTCCTATGAAATATCTTATCTATGAAATATCATATCTACGAAATGTCCTTCCTATGAAATATCTTATCTATGAAATATCATATCTATGAAATGTCCTTCCTATGAAATATCTCATCTATGAAATATCCTATCTATGAAATGTCCTATCTACGAAATGTCCTTCCTATGAAATATCTTATCTATGAAATATCATATCTATGAAATGTCCTTCCTATGAAATATCTTATCTATGAAATATCATATCTATGAAATGTCCTATCTACGAAATGTCCTTCCTATGAAATATCTCATCTATGAAATATCCTATCTACGAAATGTCCTTCCTATGAAATATCTCATCTATGAAATGTCCTATCTATAAAATTTCCCAACACCAAACACTGACATACCCCTGACATATGCCGACGATCTACTTGAATATCCTCGTTTTAATTTAGTATCTGAAATCCATAAAATGGTAATATAAATTAGTAATGCTTTCAAATTGGTATTTGTAAAAATGTTTTTAAAAACAATGACATTTAAGATCATCAGAAGCGTTGTCGAAAGAAAAACATCAACAATTGTTATATTTTCAAAAAATATTACTAAAAGGACTGTCAATGAAAATTTTGAGTAACCGGCCTCCACCTGAAGAGAAGACAGTCCGATTCACAGTTAAACTTTACCTGTTAAACCTTCTTCGGGGAGAGAGTGATTAAGATATCCTTAGGCCGAATTTAAAGAATTTGAGCGGCGGCCTAAATTTAAGCTGCAGCTCAAATATGGTTGGTTTCACTTAAAATTGTATTCAGTGTTTCAAGATTTAAGCCGGCGCTCAATTGAAACCGGTTTTTGGCGGATTTAAGACGCGGCTCAAATTAATTAAATTCGGACACTGTTTTCTTCTCTAACTGGAAAATAAGATTGTCCGAATTTAACAGTTTCCCAGAGAGAAAAACGGCAATATAAACAAGATAAACAGTGAGAGACCCATAAAACTGTGGAATAGGAAGACGACAATAACGCAATGTTGTGTGTTTTTAATAATGTTGTTTAAAAGCAATAAGTTACGCGTGTGCCGCGTTGAGTTATTGTGAACGAAAAATACCTAAATCTTGAAAATACGACATCTAGTGTTCTATCTGTATTCGAATTAGGCCAAATCTGCAAAGCTTTCTTTTTTATACGTATATATTTTTTACTGCACATTGATGTTTTTTAATTGCAACTTGAGGCTCCAAGTCGTCTCCCTATTCCACAGTTTTATGTGTCTCACTCTGGTCTGCTAGAAAAGGGCATGCAAATAAATATTTAGATTTCACATATATTTAAATCTAATTAGTGAACAAAATCTTTTCAGGTTGAGGTCACACTTGAAAGTCCGACACGGGGAGAAGATGAACCTGAACCTGGACCTGAACCTGAACCGGAACCGGAACTGGAACCAGAACCTGAACCGGTTTCAGATCCATCCAATGAAGCTGAAACAGAACCAAAAATGAACGGAAACACAAACATTATTCCCGATGAGTAAAGTAACACCAATTTGGGAAAATAAAAGAAATGAAATATGAGCCAGGGAGCGGAAACATCAAAATATCCTAACTTTGAACCAATGAGAGACTAGTTAATCTACCCTTTAGGAGAAAGAATCTGACACACAAATTTGGAATTGAGTCTTTGTCACAAACTCTGATTTTCAAATCCCTGCCGTAGACACTAGATATTTCAAACTATGAACCCTGTTAGATTAAATATTCAAAGTTTGAAATATCAAAGGTCTTCATTTATCAGGTTTCAAGGATATGGATGCGAAAACTATGTTTATGGCAAAGACTCAATTCTTTTTGAGTTTTTCATGTCAACTAATTCCTTCAAAATTTAGGTTTTTTGACAATGTTTGTTATTTACCTAGCTATCCATGTTTACCTATCCTACGGGTTATTAAATAGTTTTAAAAAAATCTTATTTAGCCATTGTGGAACTTAAAACCTCATGTTATATGTATCAAATGAATCCTGATTTTTTTCTTTATAACACAGCACTCTCAGTTCAACTACCTTACCTAGCCAGTCACTCCCTTTAAGGGTAGAACTTACTCGCGCATATATTTAAGACTGGAGAATTCGTTAAAGTGACTGTATACGTAAATTTAAGTGACCCACCATACAAAGATTACAATGCCCGATTTACAACGGTTCTATTGAAAGCTATATCTGATCAAGTTTAAATTATAAATCAATCTTTTTGTGTCTTTAAACTGTTTATTTTCGTTTGCGGTTTTTCTTCTAAAGTAACTTGTCCAGAAGCAATGGAGAAACTCACAGAAATAAAGACTATTCGTGGAAGAAAAACAACGGTATCTTCCACAGTTTTGATCAGAATAAGGTTTCAAGGGTACCTTTGTAAATCGGGCATTGCCATCTTTGCATGGAGGGTCATTTAAGCAATTAGGCTTACAACCCCTTTAAATATTTCATAACTGAAATGTTTTTAAACAACAAAACTTGGAAGATTGATTCAATATTATTTATCAATAGATCGATATTTGGTTTGCGTGCAACACTGTACACAATTTTCTAATGTACAGAATGGTTCTAATGTACAGAAACGTTATAATTTACAAAATGGTTCTAATGTACAGAATGGTTCACAAATGTACAGAATGGTTCTAATGTACAGAATAGTTCTAATGTACAGAATGGTTCTAATTTACAGATTGGTTCTAATGACCAGAATAGTTCTAATGTACAGAATATTCATAATGTATAGAATGTTACAAATTTACAGAATTTTTCAAATGTACAGAATGTTTCTAACGTACAAAATAGTTCTAATGTACAGAATAATGTATAGAATGCTTGTAATGAACAGAATATTTCTAATGAATAGAATAGTCCTATTGTACAGAATAGTTTTATGTACATAATTGTTTATGTAAAAAAATTTTAAAGAAAAAAATCATATATTTATGTACAAAATAGGTGTACAGCAAAAAAAATATTTATAGCCTAGCACAATATTTATTTAAAATACATATTTATAATTTTAAATGTTTAGAACTTTTAAAGATATTTAATATAAATTTACCCAAATAAATGTTAGCATATTCATATAAATATATAATTTCATGTTTTCGTTTAATCATTTTCTAGTTTTTACTTATTAAAGGGAGTGACCGGCATTGTATGGTAGTTGAATTGAGAATGTAGTATTGAGAATGTAGCTATCGATGTAGAATCGATTTTTTTAAAATAATAAATAACGACAAAAAATGTAACAAAATTTCTACAGTAAACTTATTTGTTGTTAAGGAACAGGTTGAGAAAATAAAAATTAACTCTTATCATCTCATATTCATATAAATATATAATTTCATTTTCTAGTTTTTACTTATTAAAGGGAGTGACTGGCATTGTATGGTAGTTGAATTGAGAATGTAGTATTGAGAATGTAGCTATCGATGTAGAATCGATTTTTTTAAAATAATAAATAACGACGACAAAAAATGTAACAAAATTTCTACAGTAAACTTATTTGTTGTTAAGGAACAGGTTGAGAAAATAAAAATTAACCCTTATCATCGAAAATAAGTAATCTTGTTCCGGCATTAGTTTCTGTAATCTCTCATTGTTCCAAACATTTTCTGTAAATTTTCTTTTCTGAAATTTTTATTGAAAAGACGATGAAATGGAAACAATTGGAAACATCAAAATGGTTTACTGTCATCGTCGTTAATTAATAATTTTTAAAAAATCGATTCTCAAAACGTAACCACCCAAATGGATGATTTTGAGCGTCGACTTTGCGCTCAAACTCAGTAATTATACATCATTAAAACGTTTTCTATGTTTCAAATGATTCCTAAGAAATTTCTCCTCAATACTACATTCTCAGTTCAACTACCATACATTGCCATAGATAAATAAATAAACATAGATAGCTTATGTACGCAAAATCAACAAGAATTGTACAGTCCGCGAACTTTTACTTCTAGGGGTCAAAGAGTACTTCAATGATAAGAGAGGTGGTTTGGTGTTTTAATGGATTTCATAATTATTAAACCACTCAGGAGTGAATTTTATTTTGAGAATATAAAATTATTTCACTGAGCAATATATCATTGACGAGAACTGAAGAAGGATATGAGAAGGACTAAACTAACTTAAATTTCTCTCTACAGAACTCATGTACACCACAAGTACTCAATGACATAAGAACAGCCAATGTTCACAACCGACCTAGTTAATCTATATAATAGGGAGATCTTTAAAACATCTCTGTACATTAATATCTTTTAAGATGAAAAATGTCGTCTTATGCGCAATCAATCTTTATCTATGTACATTGCCGGTCACTCCCTTTAAAGTGAGTGCAGTAAACCTAATTTTGCATGCAAAGATGGCAATGCCTTATTTACAACGGTACCTTTGAAAGCTTTGCCTGATCAATTATGAATTATATATCAATGTTTTCTCTAAATTGTTCATTTTCATTTGCGGGTTCCCTGCAAAAGAAACTAGCGTATTTCTTGCTTATAAGACCGTGGACACCATAATGAAAAGCATACTTCAAAGAAATATAATTCTTCTAGGAGTATAGTTAGATGTCACTGTAAAGAAAATAAGTTTTTGCTACAAATTTAATATTTTCTAATCCAGAGATGGAATTTAAAGAATTTGAGCCTCGGTTTAAATCCGCCAAAACCCGGTTTAAATTAAGCACCGGCTTAAATCTTGAAACATTTGATACAATTTTAAGTGGAACCAACCATATTTAAACCGGGGCTTAAATTTAAACCGCCGCTCAAATTCTTTAAATTCGGCCACTGATGTCTTTTCTATCTCATGTTAAAAACCTATTGTATTTCAAACCTATATGATCTGACATAAATCATAATTCATAATTTGGGTTGCAAAGATTTTGGGATTAGAAAATCAGAGTTTGTCGCAAAGACTCAATTTGTTTACAGTTATTTCTGATTTTTGAGTTAGGGATTAAAAAATCTATGAGCCCTTAATTGATGAAAAATTTAAAGATAAGAATCAAAAATAAGAAAAATAAGGGTAGGAGGTTCTACCCCCCCCCCCCCCCCCCCCCCCACCTCAACTAAGCTTTCGATGTGTTCTGCAGTAATCTGCAGTACTTTGACCAAAGATATATTAACGTATAGTGGAGAGTGCCCCCGCCAGTACATGGACATGAGTGTAAAAAAAATGCATTAGGATTAAATCTAAGTAAAATTAAAATATGTTTCACAATTATATTTATTTTTCAGTATTTGAAATATACCTCACATGCATCTAAATGTGCCGGCTCTCGCTCAAATAATCTTTCAGTTTCCAAAACACTTCTTTTAAACTGCATTTCAATATAAACTTACTTAATGGTTCTGAAATGCACGATTTTAAACCCAGCGAAACATCAAATTGAAAATCAGTGTAAATATTTCAAAACTCTGTAAAAATAATGGAGTTCTCACTTTTGAAAATACACAAAAAAATATTATATTTTCGAAATTATAATTATTTTGATGCTTTTCTCAACGCTCATATTGATATCTAATACCAGGGAAGGAATGAATGAGGATTGTACAGAAACTTAATCCTTTATAAAACGAACTAAATGTTATTTGATAACATACATTTGTTAAGAAGCAATATGTTAATCAGATTGGACCCGAGCCCCCCCCCTCCCCATCAGCCTCATAAGTTTGAATAGGTATTTAAAGGGACAGACTGGCTGTGAAATGTAATTAAACTGAGTATGCAGTGTTGTGGACAAGATTCATTTGAGAAATATAAAACTTTTTAAAGAAATATATTTACTGAGTTTGAGCGCAAAGTCAACGTTCAAAATCGTACTTTTGGGTGGATACGTTTTCAGAATTGTTTTTTTTAATTGTTAAATAACGACGAGAAAATTGACGCATCGAAAATAAGTAATCTTATTCATTTATTAGTTTCTATATTCTCTAATATTCAAAAATATTTTCTGTAATTTTTATTGAAAAGACGACATTTGAAGAATTTGTAGAAATCTGCGCACAAATTCATAGAAAATTATAAATTGAATATAATGATGAAAACGAAATAATTGATTCTAGCATTGATTTATGATCAATTTCTTTTGAGAAATATGTCCCTAAACATTTCATTAGTTTACTGTATAATTTTTACTTTATTTTTCGTCGTCGTTATTTAACATAAAAAAAACCGACTCTGAAAATGTACACACCCAAATTCATATTTTGACCGTCGACTTTGCACTCAAGCTTAGTAATTACACATCGTGGAAATGTTATATATGTCTCAAATGAATCCTAAAGAATTTGTCCACAAGACTGCATACTCAGTTTAACTACCTTACACAGACCGTCACTTTAAAACTTCGAAGAACCTGTCCTCAGAATTTCTTGAGGGGTGAGAAGCCGACTCGTTCAACTAAACCTACCGCCGTCGGTTCAACTAAACCTACCGCCGCCGGTTCAAGTCCTGAATCACCGATTCCTGAGGATTTAGGTAATTAATGGAGAGTTAATCGGTGATACAGGATTTGAACCAGAGGTAAAGGTCAAATTCAGTAAAAGATTTAAAAGGGTACTGTTGTGAATTAAGCATTTTTAAAATTGATAGCCGTCTAAAATTAAGTTGACAATCCGTTTAACTCTGTTCTTCTTCTCAACTCCCACTGTCACCAGGTTCTCCTCTACTCCTACTGTCTCCAGGTTCTCCTCTACTCCTACTGTCTCCATGTTCTCCTCTACTCCTACTGTCTCTGGGTCCTCCTTTACCCCTACTGTCTCTAGGTTCTCCTCTTCCCCTACTGTCTCCAGGTTCTCCTCTACCCCTACTGTCTCCAGGTTCTCCTCTACTCCTAGTGTCTCCAGGTTCTCCTCTACTCCTACTGTCAACAGGTTCTCCTCTACTCCTACTGTCTCCAGGTCCTCCTCTACTCCTAATGTCTCCGGGTCCTCCTCTACTCCTACTGTCTCCGGGTCCTCCTCTACTCCTAGTGTCCCCACTGATCTCTCTCAAATCTGTATCTCGAGCTGCGGAGTTCAGTTTCATCAAAAACACGGTGGATAAAACATCGCACAGATTTTCATGTTGAATTAAACTTTATATTAAAATATTTCATGTTTTCAATCATCTATATATTAAAACAAGACATTCGTATATATGTTGCCTATAGCGGCCAAACGGCTGGATCGATTGGGCTGAAATTTTTTGTGGACACTCATGGGTCGCCTGGGGGTGACATAGGCTAAAAAAGTAAAATAAGAATTTTAAAATTTTTTATTTTATTTTTTCAAATTTTTTTTTCATTTCACGGGTGACGCCTGGCTCTTCAGCTAGTAACTATTAAAATGAAAACTTTTGGATCAACGACATCCTACATATATACATTTTCCTTAATTTTATAGATTGGAGTCCATAAAATTACATTACAGAGAGTATTTGGTGACTTCCTCCTCCTCCTTAAAGGGACTGTCGTTGTAATTTAAAGGGACTACCGTTGTAATTTAAAGGGACTACCGTTGTAATTTAAAGGGACTACCGTTGTAATTTAAAGGGAGTACCGTTGTAATTTAAAGGGACTACCGTTGTAATTTAAAGGGACTACCGTTGTAATTTAAAGGGACTACCGTTGTAATTTAAAGGGACTACCGTTGTAATTTAAAGGGAGTACCGCTGTAATTTAAAGGGACTACCATTGTAATTTAAATGGACTATTGCTGTAATTTAAAGGGACTACCGTTGTAATTTAAAGGGACTACCGTTGTAATTTAAAGGGACTACCGTTTTAATTTAAAGGGACTGTAGCTGTAATTTAAAAGGACTGTCGCTGTAATTTAAAGGGTCTGTAGCTGTAATTTAAAAGGACTGTCGTTGTAATTTAAAGGGACTGTCGTTGTAATTTAAAGGGACTGTGGTTGTAATATAAAGGGACTACCGTTGTAATTAAAAGGGACTGTAACTGTAATTTAAAGGGACTACCGTTGTAATTAAAAGGGACTGTAGCTGTAATTTAAAGGGACTACCGTTGTAATTAAAAGGGACTGTAGCTGTAATTTAAAGGGACTACCGTTCTAATATTAAGGGACTGTCGTTGTAATTTAATAGGACAGTTGTTGTAATATTACGGGATTATCATTGTAATTTAAGAAACTACCATTGTAATTTCAGGGGACTACCATTGTAATTTAAGGGGACTGTCATTGTAGAAGATGCTCACAGATAGAGCACAAGATAAAAGTTTAAAAAGAAGATGTGCACGAAACGCCCTAAAGGTCTAGCTTTATATATATTTTACTCCTACTTTTTGTCTTCACGTGTACACCTCAATTTTTGTTTGTTTTTATCTTATTTTTGTTCTTCTTTTATATACAAGCCTTCTTTACTTAATTGCTTATAATACACTTTCCCCTTACATTAAACTAAATTAAATCGTAGGTAATAATGAGATCATGTTTTTAATTATAACTACTCTGACTGAAGAGTATTGAAAGGAGGTATTACGAGATCACAAAGTCACACTAGTGATGTCGCTGAAAGCGGCAGCTTTTTCTTCTGTATAGTTTACCAGAATGGCCCCTGTGTAACTTTAACAAAGATCTAAACACTCCTGTAGAGTTACTCCCCTGTGCATCACAATAAATACCCCTGTCTAACCATGAACACCCCTGTATAGTTACCCCCCCCTGGTTTACAAGAAATGCCCCTATGTTAGCTTGATAAAGGTCTGAACACCCCTGTAGATTTACACTCCTGGTTTACAAGAAATGCCCCTGTGTTAGCTTGACAAAGGTCTAAACATCCCTGTACTCTGTAGGGTTACCCCCCCCCCTGGTTTACAAACAGCCCCTGTGCAGTGTAAGCTTGACAAAGGTCTAAACACCCCTGTAGAGTTACCCCCACCCCCTGGTTTACAAGAAATGCCCCTGTGTAAGCTTGACAAAGGTCTGTTCCGGCATTAGT